CTTTTGGGCACCCTTCGTACCCTTCAATCCGACGCGATGCCCTAGCTTCATATATCGAGATCTTCAACGATTCTCAGTTTAAGTAATCTAATAAGTATTTGATACTGCAAAGCTTTCGGTCTGTTAACCCGGGCCTTCATCAGGACAAATCCCTGAAATAACATTTACACGGCACTATAATAACACGTTAGGCGTGATTTGTTAGCTTACGCCATTAATTAAGCGGTTTTAATTACCAAATAATTATGAAAAAGTTATAGTTTTAATTAATACGCTTGTCCTAGACTAGTGTTTAGCTAGCTGACATTGAAAAGAGCACGCGTACGCCACGTACTATTGAGCAAAACAAAAGATTAAAACTATATAATAGACCTATTTATTGGAACGATTTATTTTTCATAAATATTAATTTTGGTAAGTGAATGGCGCGAGCTAACAAACCATGACTAACGTGATATTTAAGTGACGTGTAAACAGTGTAAATGTGTATTCAGGTAATTGTACTGATGAAAGCCCGGGTTAACGGCCCGATAGCTTTGCAGTATTAAATACTTATGTGGTGTACCTAGTGTCAGTAGACTCTCACTATGCAAACAATGGAAGATTCTGCATGAGTTTGTTCTTCATCAGTCTTCACAAATCGAATCCGAACGTAGAGGAGCTGGACACAAATCCTACTAATGACCGTGAACATTCATTTGGAAAACAAAATGAGCAGCTTCGTCAACCTTGGAAAAAAAGCAAAATTGTTTCAAAACAAATCATAACCAAAGATTGAGTTTTTGACAACAATTTATATAGCTCTGGCCTGGAGTGAAAAGTCAAAGAGAAATTTATTTTAACAAATTTTAATGCCGTTTCATTTTGCACTACTGTGATTCCAGCAAAACTCAGATAAGTGACTCGGGCAAGATGTGTAAATAAATAAATGCAAAGATAAATAAATAGATCACGTCGCAATCATGCTTCATGTTCTGTATAGCTGTAATGACTTTTTTATGATTTATAATATTAGATGCTTTTTCAAATTTATACATTTTTGCATAGCTATACAGTTGCCTGTTTAATATGTTACTTCTGCCTGTTTAATAGAAAATTCGATCAATCCTAACATAAATTCTAAAGGAAGTTTTCGTTATTTATGCACATTATAAGTGTTTCTCCTCAAGTAATCAGCATTCCGGATTTGCGAAATGCGACTAAAAAACGAACATAAATATATATGGCATGTGAGTGAGAACATTCGAATGTAGTATTTATATGTATTGAGCTGTTATATAATTGGATTGAACTCAACTTGATTTGAGTTATGAGCTGACATTCGAATTTTACGGGAGTCATAATAATGTTAAAATTGTGTAATTTTATTCGGACTTAAATTTTAAAAGCTTGCTAATTACTTTATACAAATTATAAAATTTTCGAATTCCTAGGCTACCTTCACAGTGGTTTAATATTTGCGTGTATAAGATTAATACTGTATTAAGTACTATGCCTTCAAAGTAAAAAGGTTGTTTGTTAGCGCAAAGATCACTAAAAAGACAGCTTCTTTAAACGAATGCGGATAGCCCAGTGTTATGAAAAAGCTGGTCAAATAAGGAGTATAACCGAATCCACGCGCGTCTGGACGTTTCTCCAATAATGCATCTTTGTTGAATGCAGGGCCACTACTTGCAGAATAAGTTTTGGAGTGTGTTGGTGAGAAATCGCCTGCATCCAGTTGCCCGTTTGGAGGATTGGCACCACACATTTCTCAAATTCGTAACTGCGAATCCGAGGAAATGCCGTTCATATCGATGTCCTTAAACGATTCTCAGTTTGTTCTTCATTCACAAATCGAATCCGAACGAAGAAGAGGAGCTGGAAACAAATCCTAATGACCGTTAACATTCATTTGGAAATCAAGATCAGCAGCTTGGTTAACCTTGGAAAGGGGAGAGTGAACTTCCTGGCCTTCCTTGGAATAATGCTGAGGATACAGAAAACTTCCCTGATATCGATAAACTTTAAAATGTGACGTTTTCATGTATTTTAGAGAGCACAGTAGCCGTCCAATGATTTAACGACTGTGGCGAATACCGACAATTCATTGCAAACCGTGTTAACAAAATTTTAAGCCATCCGAAAGTATTACAAACTGATAACATGGCCAGAAATTGCGGACATGGAATATGCAGATTGCCGTAGCAAATTTGCATATCTGTTCAAATATTATTCGTTTGCAGAACTATAAATTATATTGCGCATTCTTAAATTTTGCAAAATTTAAGAAAATCATTGCATCTTTGCTATTTGCCCTGGTTGTTTCTTGTAACTCGTGTCATATTGAAGATCCTGAGGTAATATTTTGCCGGCAAAGGTTTATGTCGGCTCTGCATTTTTATTTTATTTCTACGCTATTACGGTTTTCGTTTTATATGGTATTCAACGTGATAAATGACCAAAACTTTGTTTTGAAAATGCAGAACGAATATTGATAAAACATTTTGAAATACTATATAAAAATATTAAGATTAACTTGCTCTGCAACGAGCAATTAAGGCAAATTATAATTGACCTACCTAAAGGTGTATTTTTAGCGTTTAGTACTGTGCACATTACAGTTTACTATAAATTCACGAAGCTTTATTTTGACACCATATGCAAATTTAGGCGGAAGTAGAATGTTAAATATGTCCGAATTTTCTGGCCATGCCTGCAGACTTGAGTAGTCGTGGCGTCAGTCTCACGTCAGCAGCGTTGTGGTGGAAACGTCTAGTCTGGTTGGCTGATCCAGGTGAATGACCACCTCAGATCGTGACATGTACAAAAGCAAATAATGGCCTCGATAATTCTCGAAGAGTTCGGCTTGAGTAAAACAAGGAAGATTGGTGATTGAGCCTTGAGATTCAAGCACAATCCTCGAAATCCTTCCGACAAGATCCAGAGAGTATTAACAATACAGGAGATTATATATCAAGAATTATTTTCGGTCCGCAGAGCCCAAGAGCGGAAAGTTTGTGAACGCGAAAGTTCGTGAAGAATTTTGGATTCCTCGGCAATCTTTGCTTTCGTATGCTGGCAAAGCGATCCCTAAAAAACGTAATGGATGTAAGAGATTTCCTGTTGTAACCATTCCAAGCCCGCCTGCTGAATTTTTGCACATGAATAGACTTAAGATGATAATAATACCTTTCACGATAATCGGCGTGGATTTCCTAGGTACTATCAAATATCGTAGAAGTCCGAAGAAGAGCGTATGGTTTATTACACTTCTGCCGTTGAGAAGTGCGGCACATTATTACTATTGCATGGTCAGTCAGTGTTGCTTGCGTGCCAATCCCGTTTAGTGAACACATTTTCGTTTTCTAATATCTGATATAGCGGTTTTAAGGTCTGTGGACTCTGTGCCTTCAGTTGCTTTTCTTTTCAAATAAACGTGCCGATACCAATCGTTCGGCTCAACTAATTGTAAACGCACTAGCAAGCAACAATTGCTGTTCAGGAATTGCTTATCTTATAGATGAGGAGAATGCGTGAAAACCATTCGATATTGCACAAAAAGTTTAGAAATAAGTGTCTGTGAATCATAGGCGGCGGAAGATGTACATTATGGGGGGGGGGGCTTAGACGCGAGGACAGAATCCGGACTTCGGGGACAATGGGACATGCTCCCCAGGAAAATGTTGAAATTTGGTCTTCTGAAGTAACATTTAGAACTTTCTGCGAACACATTTTTGAAAATTTTTAGACTCTCAAAACTCTATGCAAATACAATAGTCAACCATAGTGAGTAAACAAAAACAATACAAATATTGTTAGTAGTGTAGATTGAAAAATGGTTCAAGTAGTTACAGAATAGTTCCCTTCTTAACAGTCCCAAGAACCAAAGTAGTTGATTCGTCGCTCATTCACAGATACGAACTGTTGTGCAATACTTGTTAGTTCCAGTTCGACCAGTTGATCAGTTCTGTCTTTGTGAATATGCATCAAAATAAGGTGGTTCAGTCGTTTCTGGCTCATGGTGGTTCGTGAATAGTTCTTGAGCCTTCGTAAAGCAGAAAAGCTTCTCTGAGCGGTAGCACTGGCCATAGGAACTGTTAGAAAAATTCGAAGAAGCCTGTCGACTTGTTGCAGCATGGTTTTACTGTAGGGACAGGTATTGAAGAGTTGCACGATGGTACCTATGGAAGTTACCTTTTTCACACCCAATTGGTGTTTTACATTCGCAGTCGCACTAAGTCTGGAAGCATGCACAGCTGAACCTTCAATCTGTCAAGGTCGAGGTCTTTTGCATATAATGCTGACAAACTTTCAGATGGTTGGATTGTGACACCACTACAAGACTTCAATAGTAAACTCTCAATTTCTTTCAAAATTGCAAAAGAAGGTTGGTTGAATCTGCGCCTCATCTCATTTATCACCAGATCCAATACTTCGAAATACTGATGACGAAAAAAACTTTCTGGAGACGTAAATGTGTGATTGGCAGAACCGTCGTCAAGACGTTTAGGTATAGATTTAGGCCGGCGAAGTTTGGGCGGCTCGGTTAGATTCTTTGACTTGCTAACGGTCGCTTGAAAGAATTCAGAAAATGCTGCGTCTGAGCGTTGCCTTGTAAGGAACGATACTGCTTGAGAGACAGCCATCGCAGCATCCTGAGCATTAAGGTCATGCCCCTGTAATGTTCTGGAGAGTTGCTCAGTAGCACTGAACACCAAGTATGACAGGCGTAGCCCAAAGAAAGTTTGAAACCTTTCCATTAAAGCAACATATCCAGATGCATTTGAAGCTGAAGGTCCAGAATCCTTACTTACTTGTTCCAGTTCATTACAGATGATTTCATAGTTCTTCAAGATGGCGTTGATCGCACCTGTTCGCACAGTCCAGCGGGTTGGACATAGTGGTTTCAATCCCGGAGCATCCATGTTAAATTCTTCTTGTAAGTGTCTAAAAATTGCAAAACGCTTTGGCGATGCACGTATTATAGTAGCCACGCCCGAAGTCAGATTGAGAGCTTCTTAAACTGCATCGCACTGACGCCCGCAATCCTGCAGACACAAATTGAGATTATGTGCCAAGCAATGAACAAAGAGTGCAGACGGCTCGTCCTCCTGAAGGCGCTTTGCAACACCGCTAATGCACCCTGCCATATTGGCAGCCCCATCGTATGCTTGTCCACGACACTGAGAAAGCGGAAGAACACAACGTAACAAAGTGTCCTTAATTACCGATGTTAGGACTTCTGCAGTTGTGTTCTCTACTTCAACCATTCCAATCAGATCTTCCGAAATGTTGTACTCCGAGTCTACCCAACGTATGGAAACTGAAAACTGCTCAGCACCGCTTAGGTCTCGGGTTTCATCAGCAATAATTGAGTACCATTCAGCATCCCGAATTTCTGCAAGTAGTTTTCTCAAGACTTTCATACACATCAATTCGATCAATTCGTTGATTATGTCATGTGATCTGTACACTCCCTTTCTTAACCATGCTTCAAGACCAGGCACACCTTCACACCTGCATTTAAGAACCTGGTAAAGGTTTCCTTCCTCTTCAGTGTGTCCGCGAATTGCAACACCCTCAGTAAATGCGGGTTCGGCTTTCTTATTAAATACCGATGGATATGCTTTTCGGCAATAGAAGCAAAACACACTATTCCTTGAAGTGCAAAACGTTAACCAGTTATATTCCTTGAACCAGTTGGAAGAAAATGACCGAGTTTGCTGTCCTTGTCTCTTGCTGGTTGAATGGAAGTCAATATTTGGATCGTAAGGATTTGGGAGATCATGTTTGCAACATTCAGATATGCAATCTTGCCCTTGTTCACGTTGTTCAGTAAATTCATTTGCTCCTATCTCATCAGTCTCATTCGACAGCGGATGTTCTGTTGTCTCTTAATATTCTAAGATATTCATATTTGCACGTAATTTGCACGTAATACTATAATTATACTTACTCAGAATTAGAGTTGTCTTCAATTAGCCTTTCTCACGATGACGAATATCCGCCATTTTTGGGGTACTTTCAATTTTGTTAAATAGGTTTAAAACATTATAGCAATATGAAAAGCGTTTTTTTTTTAATAAACAGACCATTTGACGAATAAGTTCAGCCTAAAATTGAAGATTTAGTAAGCGTAAAAGGCCTTAACTTCACGATTTCGAAAAAAAGTACCCCAAAAATGGCGGCATATTCGTCATCATGAGAAAGGCTAATTCTAGGCCTCTTCACAAAAAAGCCGTCTATATTTCTTTGCATATTTTCATTTGGTAAAATTACTCGTTAAATTTTTCTTCGTTAAATTTTCTTGTAATCTTGTTTGAATATTTCGTACATTTGCATGTTTGTTTATTCATGCATTTATTGCTCAGTGGCTCATCCACGATACTTTTGAGCAGCAGCGTATATATCCACCTAGTACTTCATGAAATAAAAGTGTAGCTGTGAAGTGATAAAAACCAAGTGCATTGAAGTCATGGAAGGCCAAAACTTTCTCCTATATTTAATATTTTCGTCCGCTTATTGCAGTAAAAGCGTTCACATGGATCAAGGTGTATAATGTTGAACATTTTTTTCTTATATTCAACGTTTGTTATATAAGCAACTTATTTCAAACATTAGGGGGGCTTAGCCCCCCCTTTTTCCTACTTTCTGAAAGTTGGGGGGGGCTTGCCCCCCCGGTTCCGCCGCCTATGCTGTGAATTATTTTAAATAAATCATAATATAAGTTACTGCATTAGTATACATTCATTTCTGACAGAAAGCCACTTTATACATTGTTAATTTGTCCTCGATTTCCATGACTTTGGCTATTCCCAAGTTTGGCTTGTGGACTGGTGTTGAGGGACTAATCACTCGTTAAGTCCTATTTTCGGGAAGTAAACAAAGGCTCTCTCTCAGAAATGAATGTATACTAATGCAGTAACTTATATTATTGTTTATTTAAAAGAGTTAAGGCACTGTTTTGGGGGCGTAAACAAAGGTTTGTCCCAAAAACAGCCCTATGGTGCATTTTCAATATCACTATTACCAGTCCGATTATCACTATTACAAGTGTCGATCACAATAACACCTCAAACTTCGATTGTGTCAACGAAGGAAATACTCTTCCATGCGCGGTATATAGCTACATTAATTAACCTGTCTAATAAGTTTTTACATAATTTTGTTTAAGGTCTGAAGTAAAGATAGAGACACTTCAAAAGGTAACGAAATGGGTTCGAAATCTTCAAAATCTGTCACTGCAAACAATGATCCGTTAGAAAGAGCAAACACCAATCTCAATTTAGGTGATACCCATTTTAGATTAGCAGAGTATAAAAAGGCTATTACCTATTACATTAAATATAGGGAAATTTGCACTGAAATTGGCAATTTTCAAGGATTAGCAAGTGCCTGTGAGAAACTGGGTTCTGCCTGTTTACAGCTAGGACAGCATGAAGAGGCTATCGAGTATTTTGCAACAAGCTTAGAAATTTTCATTAAATTTGAAAATCACTCAGGAGTGGCAACTAACAATGGCAATTTAGGCACTGCCTATCATAGTTTAGGAGAGCATGACAAAGCTATTGACTATTTCAAAAAAGGTTTGGAAATCAGTGCTGCTATTGGCGACAAGTCAGGAATGGCAAATATTAATGGCAAATTGGGTAGTGTTTACCTTAGTTTAGGAGAATATAAAAAAGCTATTGACTATTTCAAAAATGGTTTAGAAATGAATATTGCCATTGGCGATAAGTCAGGAATGGCCGATAACAATGGCAATTTGGGCAGTGTTTATCTTAGATTAGGAGAATACGTTAAATCCGTTAGCTATTTAAAAGAAGGTTTAGAATTGAGTACTGCTATTGGTGATAAGCCAGGTATAGCAAGTCAAAATTGCAATTTGGGAAATGCCTACCTTCGTTTGAGAGAATATGAGAAGGCTATAGGCTATTTTAACAAAGGTTTAGAAATTAGCACTGCTATTAACGATAAATCATGTATAGCAACTATAAATGGCAATGTGGGCAATGTTTACCTTATGTTCGGAGAATATGAGAAAGCAATTGACTATTTTAAAAAGAGTTTAGAAATGCGAACTGCTCTCGGCCATAAATCAGGAATAGAAACTAATTATGGCGATTTAGGCTATGCTTACCTTAGATTAGGAGATTATGAGAAAGCCATTGACTATATCAAAATAGGTTTGCAAATGAGTACAGCTATTGGTTATAAATCAGGAATTGCAACTAACAATACCAATTTGGGCATGACCTACCATAGTTTAGGAGAATATGAAAAAGCCATTGACTATTTCAAAAAAGGTTTAGAGATGAGTACTGTTATTGGCGATAAGTCAGTAGCAGCAAATAACAATGCCAATTTAGGCATAACCTACCTTAGTTTGGGAGAATATGCCAAGGCTATTCACTATGGCAAAAAAGGTTTAGAAACAAGTACTGCTATTGGTGATAACTTAGAAATAGCAAGAAACAGTGGAGTGTTAGGTAAAGCCTATCTCATTTTAGGAGAGTATGAGAAAGCTCTTGACTATTGCAAAAAGGGTTTAGAAATGAGTACTGCTGTTGATAATAAGTCAGGAATAGCAAATAACAATGAAAATTTGGGTGATGCCTACCTTATATTGGGAGAATACGAGAAAGCTATTGACTATTTCAAAAAAAGTGTGGAGATGAGTGCTGATATTGGCCAGACGTCTGCAGTTGCCTCTAACAATAGCAATTTAGGCATTGCCTACCTAAAAATTGGAGATTATGAAAAAGCCATCGACTCTTTGAAAACTAGTTTAGAAATGAGAACTGTTATTGGTGATAAGCTAGGAATAATAAAAACTTGTAAAGACTTGGCAAATGCCTACCTTGGATTACGAGATTATGTGAAAACCATTGACTATTGCGAAAAATACTTGGAATTAAGTCGCGATATTTGTGATAAGGAAGGAATAGCATCTTGGAATGGCAATATGGGTGATATTTGCGTTAGTTTTGGAGAATATGAGAAAGCTATTTATTATTACAAAAAAGGTTTAGAAATGAGTACTGCTATAGGGTATAAGTCAGGCATAGCAACAAGCAATGTCAAATTGGGCATCGCCTACCGTTATTTGAGAGAATTCGCCAAAGCTATTGATTACCTCGAAAAAGGTTTGGAAATAAGTACTATTATTGGCGATAAATCGGGGATAGCAGATGCGAATGGCGGTTTGGGCATTGCTCATATATTCTTGGGAGAGTATGAAAAATCTATTGATTGTCAAAAAAAGTGTTTAGAAATTAGTACCGCTATTGGCGATAAGTATCGAATAGCAGAGGTCAATTTTATATGAGCGTTGTTTATGGATGTTT